TAATAGAGCCTTTTGGCCAAATCACCAATAAAACATATTAACCAAACCACGAGTTAAAAGGTATCAAGTTGTAACTTCTTACTGTGGAGCTGTTTGGCTAAACCACACAGATAGATGACATGTGTCACGTTCTTATTGGTGCAAGATTGTTTTGAGTATAATTTAGTGGTATAAATAATATGACAATTGTTCTTTGTGACCTAAGATTAATCTTAGATTTTTCACCCTCGATAAATTGGTGTGACTGGTGGATAAAATTTTTTTAATATTTGAAACATAAAATTTCCAAATTCTAAAATTTTATAATTTGATTTTATAAATAGACCCCTTCATTTGAGATTTACTATCAACACGATTATCATCATGGAGTTCGATATTAAAATGCTTATTTTATAATTAAATTTAGTGGTTTGACTATTGAAAATGTGTTAATCCTATTAAATCCAATCCTTATTGGGAGAAGGATTGAGTTTAGGGCTTAATTTTGTCAACTACACTCCCAGCAAAAAAATGATGATCAGACTGGCCAAAAATAGAACTTACGACTCTATCCCATATAGAGAGAGCCCCTTGTCGGCACTACATTCTTGGACCATATAATTGAACGATCGGCACACTTGTCAGAGCAAATGTGAGTATTTTGTGATGTGTATGCATCACAGTGCATTTGCACGGATCTCAAGGTATTAGAGATTTTAGCTTGTGACACGTTTTAAATCTATTTAAAATTGATTGAGTGTATGTGTTTTTTCATCAATTTTGAGGTGGTGAATTTGAGTTGAAAATAATCTCGAGAAGTGCATTATTACAAAGTTTGCCTTATGCCCGTTTATGTGACTGGCGCGTAGGAGATGGATGAGAATGTAATGAATATATTGTGAATGACGATTTTTAGTTTATGTGACTGGCGCGTAGGAGATGGATGAGAATCTGATGAGTATATTGTGAAATGACGATTTTTATTTTGTTGTTTTCGATTTTTATGGCTGACTATTTTTTCCTCCATATAAGAGGGATGTGTCATGGCGCATTTCACTTCTCATTCATTTTTTCCTGGGCGTGCATCTGATTGAATGGATCTTACTAGTGCTCCTAGCGGACCTGCCTTTCAGAAGTCCCCAGTAAGTTTCATTTCAAAATCATTTTGATATTCATTTCTTTGCTCGTAATTATTTTGGTTGCTATATTTTATTATTTTTGCATTTATTTAAGTTCTTAGAGGTACAACTTGAGTTTTTATTTGATTCTTGTTTGAGTTCTGTTTAGCCTCTTTTTAAGTTCCCTTCTGAGTCACAAGTTTGACAATATTTCAGCAGTATTTCGACATTCCTTCCATCACTAGCGAGGTGCTTACCCGAGACATATCAACTCACCACGCAAAGAAATATATATGTATGGGTCATTTGTGCCATAACCTAAAATGGTATTACCTGCCATATAATGAAATGTGTGTAATAGTACGTAATTGGCAGCCTGGCTCGTCGTCACCACGTAAAGAAATGTGTTGATACTACTTGCACAAAAAACAAATATACAAAACAGAATTTCCCCACCGTGCAAAGAAATGGATGTGCAAGTACTGAATGAGTTTAGGCATTTATGCCTGCACACGAGGTCGATAACAATATAGAGGCAAAACGACAACTAACCTGCAGAATATATACAATACAAAACAGAATTTCCCCACCGTGCAAAGAAATGCATGTGTAAGTACTCAATGAGTTTAGGCTTATGCCTGCACACAAGGTCGATAACAATATAAAGGCAAAACGACAACTAACCTGCAGAATATATACATATATATATATTACTATTAATTTATATTTTTAATCTTATTTACAATGTATCATTTTTTTTGTTTAAGCTTTTCTGATTTTTAATCTTACTGCTTATGTGTGCACATATATACCTTTTATTAATTAGCAAAAATAGCAAACCCTTAAACCTGCAAAGTTCTAAATCTCATTTCTCCATAAACAATGTATAGCCAAAATGGCAACATTAATTTTGCAGAACCGGTATGTATTGCAATCTCTCTCTCTCTCTCTCTCTCTCTCTCTATATATATATATATATATAGACACACAAACACATCAAGTAATGGCAAACTAAAATATAGTTTCCTAGTCTTAAATTTGATTCCACATAAACGGGCTACGGGTAGCAAATTTTGATAAGGATTGAGCAAAAATTTAATCATATAACAAGTTGACAACAGCAACCAAAACACATTGCTTTCTTGTTTTACCTTTGGCTGCTGTCGAACTGGAGTTGACCAATCTTCGGCGGCCTGAGGTTGCTGGAAGGAAGAGACGGGATGTACGGCAAGTGATTGCTGCGATGTGCAGGGTCGAAGAATGAGAGTGTGTGAGTCAGAATGGGAGAAAGCTGGAGGAAACAAGAGATAATGCAAGTCACTGGAAGGGGTGGAGGCTGGATTGCGACAAGGTTGATAGGGAAGACAGGGATGCTTTGCTGAGTTTCGCCGGAGCGGGGAAGCCTGTGGGTTCGGAAAAAGAAAAGGAAGGGTGAGCTCGCCAGAGAGGAGCTCGACGGTTGAGCGGAAGCTGTAGGGGTGTTGGCTGGAACGAATGAGAAGGTAGAGGGACAGGCTCAGGTGTAGACCGGAGTTGCAGCATAATTTCAGTCTTGTGCAGGTCATCAGGAGAGGGCTGCCGGAGGGAGGCTGCTTGGGGTTGTGAGAGAGCTGGGCTTCGGTTTTCTGCTGGATAGAGAAAAGGAGAAGTGGTTGTTGCAAGCGAGGGCAGTGGAGATGAGAGCACGGTTTGGTGAGGGAATCAGCTGGAAGTGTATTGGGGCTTGGCTGGGATAGACGGATGGAAGGCTTGCACGACCAAAGTAAAAAATATTATGTGCAGCTGATTTAGTCTAATTATTTGATAACTGTGATTTTCTCCTCTTTTTTTTTTTTAAATAAACATATAATTAATGATTTAGTCTAATTATTTGATAACTGTGATTTTCTCTTCTCTTTTTTTTTTTTTAAATAAACATATAATTAATTAAATAGTATTAATCCTAATATGTGCGTGCGTATAAAGTTTCATTCTCATAGGCAAAATTAATTCTTCACATGTGCTGGTACCCAGACAATATGAGCATCATTCTAGAGTATTATTGTTATTTCAGACTCACCAGAACAGTCCTTTTTGTTATTGATTGACGCCGGGTCTATTGCGACGTCGTCAAGGTGATTTAGGCTTGAATCGCAGACATCGCATCAGTAGCAGATCGTTGCCTTCGCATTTACTTACAAAAAAAAAACTTTTGATATTTCGAATGCTGACGCAGCTCTTTTCACAGACGGGCCATATTTGGTCAGCATTGGTAGTTGAATTTATTTAGGCGTGGATTGTCTGTTATCATGCTCATTGCCAATTGTTTTCAACATATTTACTCTAGTTGATTGATAGAAAGGTATAGAAGGCAACACTTCCAAATTTTACATCCGAAAAATTTTAAGAGTATTATAACTTCCCTCTCAATTTCAGTTTGTGTTCATTTACAAATTTAAGCAGGACAAACGTGAGCTCTTTAAGCAAGTAACATTATGAAGAACCAATAGAAACAAAGAGACGCCATGCTTTTCTTGGTTAAAGATAGCAAGCCATATAACTAGTCATTCATAAGAAGTTACAAATTATTTCTTGAGCAGGCATTTCGTATCCGCTGATGTGATGACAAAATCATAGCCCTAGCAGTTAATCTCATGGTCAATATTTCGCCAAAAATACAATATATATATCAAGAATGGAATAACACAACCGCAAACAATAACAGTGAACCATAATCCAAATCTAAGTTCAGCCATTTTATATAGCAAGATGATGATTAAAGCATAGGAATGCTGCGGACAAATTTTTAAATTAAAGTTTAAAATTAGGGGCTTTAGCAGATGCATGGTGGAATTGTAAATTTGAATTTTTGGATAATTTGACATATTTTTATTAAATATTCCACACACCACGAAATTACAACATTTTAATGACAATAATGGATTTGTAAACGCAAGAGAACTAAAATAATAAGAGTTTTTAGGAGGGCCAATTATCCAAAAAAGGTCTGGATACCTATGTAGTATAATATCATTAGAGGAAGCTATGGTTTTAAGTACTGCACCGAGGAACTCCAAGATTACAGATACAATATCATGCTAAAATGAAAATGAACAGAAATCATAGTATGTTCAGTATTTTCTTAAGTGCATTCAAAATGCAGTTTTTTCGCAGAAGTTACAAAGTAGGTTAAGTTGCTTCGCTATTCGTACTCATCTTTAATGGCTGCTATTTAACTTGCTTTCCCTTTTCATCTCTTTCTTCGCTATAATATTTTGCAGTTTATAGTGTATAGTAGGAGAAGAAAGGAAAGGAGGCGCTTGATGAGTTTGATGGCTATGTTGCTTAACTCACCATAAAGGCACGCAATTTATCATTATGGAAAAGATTCAAATAGTTTTAAGAGCTCAATTGAATTCTAGTACAACAGTTCAACCGTAAACTAACAAACAGTATTAATAGACATTCCAAACGTTAGAACATTTATTCACAGAATTTATTTTAAACCATGTGACAACTTGTATGACTTCTCCCATTAATGGAGTTTACTTAATATCATAATTATCTAGCTAGCATTAGAATGGCATCCTATTTTGTAGAGATTATGATATGCCAACTTGAAGCTTATGTGGCATGAATGTTCATTAGTCCTTGCTGTCAACTATCATCATAACCCCACAGAGCCTTCGCAAAGGTCCTAACTATGTATGGAAACGTTAATAATATATTTATGTTTCTTATTTAAGAAGATCTCAACTACGTTATGAGACTCGCAAAACCTCAACATTATGCTCTCTTCTTTTTGGATTTCATGCTGAAGTAAGGACCTTCATTGATTCGTAAGAACAACATAGAATATTTTGATATTAAGCGCATCATTGCTGTCTTTTTCCAAATTTTTTAAAAGCAATTAATACAGCGCAAAGAGTAAATCTACAATTTTATTACTGCAACAATACAATGCAAGCGTTCATCATATATTGAGCAATGGTTCTAACTGAATATTTAAAGCATCAAGAAATCTAACAATTATGGGGCTGAAGGTGGAGATACCACTGACCACTCCAGTCTAGAAGCAGGACAGTCAAGCATGTTTGATCACACCTGGAACTCTGCCCAGCCAAATTAATAGCTAAATGAACGGATACAAAATAAACACCATGAAATCAACATCAACATACTAATGTCACAATTCGAAGCTCAATGACACACCTTGGACTCTGCCGACACAATCCATCACTCTCCCCTGAACTCCATCACCAAATTTCTCTCTTTCTATTATCTCCCTTTGTTGCTTTATCCCATTGCTCTTAGGTGCTTCAAAGGGCTCATTGACTGCCTCCTCCAAGAGATTGACAGTGTCATTATTTTCAAAAATAAATCATATGGCATGAACTTCTCTCAAACTACCCAACTGGATGAAGCTTTCAAATTGGCATATCTGGTGGTAAGACAATCCAACATGGGTCAGCTCTATCTCCTAGGACAAATTAAAGCCCGCCACCACATCATCTAGACCCAAGAAATTTGCAACAAATTAATAATAGATTGGGCCTGACCAAGGCTATGTTGTCCTGAAAGCATGCTACAAGCTTTCCTTAGTGTTAATGAATTTGAAATTGTAATTTAAACCCTTCACTGCCATCAAGTTCACTGAGATAGCTTCTCATTGTACATGAATCAAACTAACTTGCTAAAAAGTAGATGATTAGTTAACAATACTTGTCAACTAGATTGCCTACAATCAAAATGATTAAATCTATTTGTTAATTCAAGTAAAAGAACGCCTTTCTAACCATCATAAAGCTAACAATGGTTTAGTCGCGCTTATCTGAGTTGCAAGCTTTAATCACATCAAAAGTATGCCGAAGATCTGTCCATAACATAAAATATAGCTTTAACTTCCTTGTCCCGAGAATATCAACCCTCTCTCTGAATTAAGAAACGCTGTTCAATCTCCTGTAGGTTCGCTATTCAGTAGTTCTTCAAAAACACTTGTTCAAGCCTCGACAATCGCGAGCTCCAGAGTAAGAAAACCTCAGCCCATTGGATACGGTAAAAAAGAAGCCGAGAATACGGCGATGTTTGAGTTATGTTCATGTCTGTAAAACATAAGAGAAAAAAGAGAAATAGCAGTGAAAATGAAATTCTAAAAACTGTTTCTTCGATCAAAGGAGTAAAATCAGAAGCTACCTTATTTGAAAGGGAGTTGAAGCATTGAATAATGGAAGCAGTAGTTGAAATAAATGGGGTCGATAAAAGCTACTAAATCCGTCGCCTTCCATATTCCAATGATCTTAGCCAGTTGATTTGAAATGGTTTATTTGGTGGAAAAGAAGGCTCCTGAGACGGTTGAGTGCAGCCATACAGAGGCAGACGTGCTCGTCGAGATCCGTCAGCTGATGTCGGAAGCTTGAATGGTTCTTCCGAATCTGGCGCACCACTTCTTGGATGGGGTAAATCTGACCCCGGCCTCGCTCAAGCCCCAGCCGCACCAAAACCTTATCGCTCTCCACCGTCGCGTGCAACCTCGCTACCAGCCGCTCAACCGTGCTAATATGTTTATCCAGCACGTAAGTCTCCCTCGCGGCCTCGTCCGTCCCATCTATCCGCTCCTTCTGATGCCGCCTCCTTCCAGCCAGCACATCACTACCACCGCAGCACAACGCCACGGGCCCAAACGCCGCAACCGCCAGTAGCGCATGGCTGGCGAGGACAAGCGCAGTTGCAACGGCCCCCGTGACCGACAACACTAGGCATGTCGCAGAGGCGATGGTGGCCTGGCGAAGGAAGCGATGCCTACGTCGGGCTTTCAGTAGACGCAGTCCAAGCTGCTGCTTCAGAACGGCGAAAGAGTCACGGATGTCACCGAAGCCGTCCACGTCGCATTGGAAGGGATTCTCCCGGCGGTCAAAGTCGACGAATGCGTCGAAAGCACAGTCGCACTGCGGTAAGGACAGAAGTGGACGAACGGATTGCGCCGGCGAGGGGATCGGGGAAGCGGCAGGGAGAACTTCCAGAAGCAAGGAAATCGGAGCATAGATTTCGCGGGCAAGGTCTACGGAGCGTCGGAGCGAGACTAATAGGTCAGAGGCCAGCTCGCTGCTTTCGAGATAACGGGATACGAGGCGGGTGAGACGAGTTGGTCGAGCCAAGCGGATGACCTCCTCGACGGAAGCCCGATCAGGCCTGAGAATCTCCTCACCACCGCCCTCTACCTCTCCTTGTCCATTTGGACGGTGGATTATCGACCACATCTCGTTGTAGGAGTTGGTCTGAACGGCACGGGTGTACTCTCGTCTGAGGTTGATAGTAACTGCAGAGGGGGAGTTTTCTGTCGAGGCCGATGAGTTACGTGCTCCGCAACTTGAGGAAGGACTTGAAGCCGCTCTCTTCAATTTCTTTCCATCATCTTGGCCTTCTACTCCAGAACCGCTGCAGTCCGGCGCTGAAGAAGACATGCCTTGCTGTCTCTAAATCCTGCAAGGTACGCTGTACTGTCTTCCAAGCATAAACTTGAGAGAAAACTTTTCGGTAACGAGTCTTTTCACATTTCCTAGGTGAGTTTTCTACAGGCCGAACATCTTCAAACGCCGCCGCCGGTGATGACATTATGCAATTTTCGTCTATCGACCCTTCGACTCATTATAAAGGAAATGAATATGAATGTAAGATTTGAATCCAAATATTTCCTATAATAAAGATATAAAATAATAATAGAAACAAGTATTTAAATATATTTTAAATATGAATATCTAAGATTGTCATTACCGATCCCAAGTTCCGAATATGAAAAATGGAGGGTTGCGTAGATAGTCGACAGTGAGCATAATTGTCATTGTCGCCGCCAATTCTCATTGTCGTGTCGTTGATTTGTCATTATTGTTGGATTCTCATTGTCGTGTCGTTGATTTGTCATTATTGTAGGAAGGAGTCGTCACTCTATTTATCTATTTTATTGCCCTATTCTGCATGACTTGTTCTCATTAGATCACATGAATAACCTTAAGATTAAGATGTTAAATAACTTAGAGAAAGAGTAAAATGACAAATAAAAATACAGAAAATAAAAGAAAATATTGTAGTAGTTTTGTTTATAGAGGATTCAGAAATTTATGTTTTCTTAGATTTTCATACAAAGAAAATCACATGAAAATTTCATAACCAGAGATTTAGGTACAATACTCATGCGGGCATATTTAGTGTGTTAATTTTGTAATATTTTTTAAAATTACAAAATACACACGACAGATATAATAATAAATATGCAATGTGATCCCAGCAAAAACAACTTTAATAAAAAATAATATATTTTTAAAACTCTTTTAAACTGTCAAATTCTCGTTTAAAAATAACGCAAGTATATGTAACCGCCAAGTAATAAATGACTTTAATGGAGTCCAATATATCGATCCAACAAAGAAGTTGAAAATGCCTCTAAATAGTTCTTAGATTATATTTATAATTTAAACTAAAAAAAGGTAATGTGCGAAGTTTGAATATTAATTTCTAAAGTGAATGCTATTTAAAATACAGTTGAAAGACAAAGTTAACTAAACCAAAAACTAAACTTTCAAAAGTAAAATTACGAAAACTAAACGAAATTTTTCTTGACGGAAAGTTCAAATTTAAGAAAGCATCTTTTACCTTACAATGAGCATATGAATTGTGAAAAAATTAAAAGCATTCGAAAATATATATAAAAACTATTTTGTGTAAAATAAGAGCAATCATATTCTTTATCCTCTTCCGAGTGCTATAAATAACATTGACTAATCCAGAGTTTGGTCCTTAATTTCGTATTTAGACTGAGTGAATACCGGCTGCCACTCCAGAGTTCCCACTACTTCCTCCCCTGAGGGCTAACAATCTCGCATTAGTTTCCAATCAACTAGACCAAATTGTGGATTTTAATCTGTCACTTTAAAATCTCTAATTCTGCATTCAACAAAGTATATTTCCCTATTTATTTGCACTAAATTTCATGAATGACATACTCTTAGAAAAGTCCTTAATATATCGCCTGTATAATCCAACATGTTCTAATAAACTCTTAATTTCCCTTACATTTGTTGGATAAGGTAAATTAGCGATCACTTGAATTTTAGCAAGATCTACTTCCATACCATTTTCTGATATTTGATGACCTAATACAATTCCTCCTGCTACCATAAATTGGTGTTTTTCTCAGTTAAGGACTAAATTTGTTTCTTCACAGCGCTTAAGAACTTTAGATAAATGTTCTAAACATGAGTCAAATGAAGTTCCAAACACTGAAAAGTCATCCATAAAGACTTTAATCCCTTTTTCAATTAAATCGCAAAAAATTCTCATCATACATCTTTGAAATGTAGCTGTGGCATTACATAAACCAAATGACATTCTTCTAAAAGCAAAAGTACCATAAGGACTAGTAAATGTTGTTTTCTTTTGATCCTCAGGAGATATTTGAATTTGGTGATAACCCGTATATCCATCCAGAAAACAAAAGTATTTATGCCCAGCTAGTCTATCCAGCATTTGATCTAGAAAGGGTAGTGGAAAATGATCTTTCCTAGTGACAAGATTTAATTTTTTATAATCAATGCATATTCGGCACCCTGTAACTTGTGTAGTAGGTATTAACTCATTATGCTCATTCACAGTTACTGTTACTCCTCCTTTCTTAGGAACACTTTGAATTGGACTAACCCATGCACTATATGAAATAGGGTAGATAATTCCAGCATCTAACCACTTTAAAATTTCTTTCTTAACAACTTCTTTCATAACAGGATTTAATCTCCTTTGTGGATCAACCCTGGGCTTGCAGTTTTCTTCCAGATTAATTCTATGCATACAAATTGAAGGACTGATTCCTTTAATATCAACAATTGACCTTCCGAAGGATTTCTTAAAATTTTTCAAAATTTTCATCAGCGTTTCTTCTCCTTCCTTTGTTAACTTTGAGGAAATTATAATATGTAAAGTAGAGGAATCTCCTAAAAAGGCATATTTTAAATATTCAGGAAGTAATTTCAACTCAAGTTCTGGAGGTTTTTCAATAGATGGACAAAATGATTTATCTTTGTCTATCGTGTCCAATATTTTAAAACTTTCTTGAACATAACTTGATTCTTCCTTAAAAATATTTACACATTGATCTAATTCCTCTTCTTGCTCGTTTTCCAAATTTTTTTCTTCAGATTTTTCTTCATAAGTAGTCTTGAAATGACATTCTCTTAGATATCTTGTAACATTCATTCTATAACTTTTATCTTCTTTACCTTTTGCAGGGTATTTCATTGATTTTTAAATGTTAAAATTAATAGTTTGATCATTGACGTGCATTGTTAATTCCCTTTTCAGCACATCTATCATTGCTCTTCCTGTGGCTAAGAAAGGTCTCCCCAAAATGATAGGCTCTTTATCTTCCTCCATATCTAGCATAATGAAATCAACAAGAAAGATAAATTGATCCACTTTCACTAGGACATCTTCTATAACTCCTTTAGAATAGTTTATTGAACGGTCTGCTAATGACAGAGTTACAGTAGTAGAGGTTATTTCTCATAATCTCAATCTTTTAAATATTGATAATGGCATAAGGTTAATGTTTGGACCTAAATCACATAAAATTTTCCCATAAAATCTGTCTCCTATTGCACTTGGAATTGTAAAGCTACCAGAATCTTTAAGCTTTTAAGGAAGTTTCTTCTGAATTATAGCACTGCACTCCTCACTAAGTCCAACAATCTCATTGTCTTCAAACTTCTTTTTTCTGTTAAGAATATCCTTCATAAACTTTACATAGCTTGACATTTGTTCAAAGGCTTCAAAAAAATGGAATATTAATTATAAGCTTCTTAAATATTTCCAGAAATTTTGAAAATTGCTTATCCAACTTCTGTTGTCGAAGTCTCTGACGAATGGAGGTGGTGGTTTTTCTAAATCAATTTTCGGAGGAGAAATATGTCTTTCAGAATCTTTCAAAGCGTCCTCTTTTGATTCTTCAATCTCTTCTCTCTCTACTTCAATTTCTTTTTGAATCCTACCTTCCAACTCTCTTCTGCTTCTAAGTTGTACGGCTTTAACTTGCTCTTTATTCTGGCCTTTTGGATTTGATTCAGTATTACTAGGAAGTGTTCTTTGGGATCTATTACTTAATGAACTTGCAATTTGCCCAAGTTGATTCTCAATATTTCTAATTGTAGCTCCTTGACTTTGTAACTGATTTCTCATTTGTAACACCACTTCTTCTATAGAAAACTTCTTATCCTTAAATTCTGTATTACTGTTGATTCCTGGAGGATAAGTAGATCTAGATTTTTTATTCCCTTGGTTGTTCCAGTTTCCCA